CTTCTGAAAATCCAAATACACCAAATGTACACCCTAACCATTATCTACATAAGCAATAACCTTTTCAAACAATGTCAAAAGATTTTTAAGCCAAGATTTTCCCTTAGTGAAACCATGTTGACTATCAAAAAACTTTTAAACTTTCTTAAATGGCTTTGCAAAGCATATTTTATCAGACTTTCCAAAACGTTTCCCACAACTGTTGTAAGATTAATGGGCCTATAATTACTGGGACAATTTGTATCACCTCCCTTGAAAAGAGGAGTGACATTAGCTAAATCCTCTGGCACCTGTCCACTATTCAAGAACTTCCAAAAAATAGTAGCAGGTGGATGACATATCCAATCCATAACCTCCTTCAAAACCCATGGGGAAATATTATCTGGCCCAAGAGCTTTATCGTTCTTTAATCTTCCCAATTTTTTCTGAACAAGCACAGAATTAATGCTGTCATCTTGTTTGATCTTGTTTCCATCTATCAATTATTCAAGGCCTGCCATTTTTCCATTTTGGCCGAAAATGTCTATTGCTGCTTAACAATTCATGTGATGCTCTCTGTTTTGAAGAATCTCCAAATTTGACTTTCCTGCTTTTTGTTTCTTAGGGGAGAAGAGGTGGCAGATTCAGTGTCAACACTGCCACAAATACTTACAAGAAGTAGGCTTGACAAATCCAATGTCAATTTCAGGGTTGCAATTTATGTTAATACTAGCAGCACTATCACTGTAATGTTTCTTTTGGCATTGTCATTTCTTGCAAAATTTTCATCAAATTGATATTTTGTTTGATTCCCAAATCCGAATTGAAATGAGCTCATCGTTACCATTACTAATAAATGAATTACAGGTTGATACAAGTTTCTTTAAAACAGCATATCGTGCTAAGCTTTCTAGTATCGTTTAGGTAGTGTTCCACCAAATATATGGATTTGTACCTGAATCTAGTGTCAGTAATTAGCCCTGCTGATAGATGTCACCCTATAATACTATATCACAATACTACGAAGCACCCTTGGATTAATATTAGAGATATAAAGATAACCTTCACATTTTATTCTTTAATAACATGAATATAGTTTGTGCATTAAATCAGTTATTTAACAGTATTCTTGAATTAAATGTATTTAGTTTTATTCTCATAGTGTACTGTTTTCAATCCTTTTTTTTTTAAAACCATTGAAAGGCTGTATTTACTAACTCTAGAAAATTGCTGACATGCTCAACTAAGTAAAGGACAACTATTTAAAAATATGTCTTGACATTCAACTCCTAAAAATAAAACGAAAATCACTGAAAAGCTTATTAATTTCTTACTGAAATTGTAAAAGAACTTGGTATTTTACTGTAGAATAAAGTAATCAGTTTTAAATAGCCATATTTTGATTGTTGATCTTTGTTAGGGCATTAAAAATGGTTGTAGGTGGATGGCAGTAGTTATAGATGTCAATAATTAGATAGTCACTTTACTTTTGAAGTTTCTTCTGTAATGCATGTAAAGTTAAAAGATGCTGAATAGTAATCATGTACTAAAAATATTTGTTTGAATGAGAAATAAAAAATATATATTCTCATAGCTTAGCCCTTTCAAGTCCAATATCAGTTTATTACTTTCTCTGCATTTTTATTCATAAATATTAATAGCATAATATCTGAAAGACACACTGTTCTAAAATGAAGCTTGATAATCATAGAACATTTTTTTTAACTGGTTAATTTTTATAATGTAAAAAGCAGCTGCCATAAACAAGCAGGAAAACCAATAAAATTCATCTGTTACATTTACTTTTCATGATATAGATAGGTTAATTATTTAAAGGTATATGATAAAAAGAATCTTCTGATGTAATAACTAAAAGCTGAGAAATTTATAATTTACATAAGTAACAAAGGGAGCTTTACTGAAATAGATTGTGAGAAAGATAATAGTCCATTTTTCAGGCTACATATTTATGATTTTTATTAGCTATGGAAGTTCAGAAACTGGAAAAAAAAGTTCACTCAGTTGATCTTCAAAAATTCACTGTTTTCAGTCTGTATCAGTGATAAGTCAGCAACAGACATGTTTAAAGATTTGTAGGTGTGTTCATGCATGGAAAAGTTAAAACATATTAAAACAATAGATCTTTAAAGAGAATTAGGAATATGTACAAGCTAAGAAAATATGCTACACTTCAGTTGAAGAAATAGCTAAAATACAGGAAAACTTCATTCGCACTGCTTTTATTTCAATTTAAGAAAACTTTACATTCTCCTTGAAAATTAAAGTAGAAAGATTGCTTGTATGATGTTTCATACTTAAAGAATCAAACATGTAGCATTCTTACATATATAAGTGTTAATTATTACCCAAATGCTGCTGTTATAACTAATTTGTTGTCAAAAGGTGATTCAAACTTCACCAAGATTTAATAAAAGTATTGTGAGTCAGGAATACCACACTACCTTACTATCAAGTAATACATGTAGTTTTATTTGGGGGGAGGGGTGCAATCATACCTAGTAAGACTAGTCAGTACATTACTTCACAAAGTTAGAAAACTGTCTTGTTTTATTATTTTGTTAGACATTTTTTTAAATTTTATATTCCTTTTTCATAAAAGTGAATAAGTTTCTGTTAAGACTGTACATTTTTTTTCTATATGTTTGTGAAATTCTAGCAGTGTACTTTCACTGGTTAAAACCTTATCTTGCACACTCAATATGAGTTAACAAGATCTGTGCTGATTTGTACAAACATGTTTCTGTGTCTTAGCCTTATGTATGTTATCATTATGTTTCTTCAAAGTATAAATACTAAAGCATAAACATTATTATTTATTTTTTTTGAAAATGAGCTTATTAAATGTCACATGTAGCTTACATATGTCTTTCATTAGGGTTTATAGAATGCTTTGCACAAGGTTTAATATGTTTGTGTTCATTTTACAAATTTTTCAGGACGTAATTGAACTTCTTGAGAAGCGAGTGAGATCAAGATTTTCCCATCGGCAGATTAATTTATTTAATCAGTATAACTTTGATGACTATATGAATATTGTCAAAAACCTGTTACAACTACCTGAAGACTTTTCTGACTTCCTGCAAAGGAATCAATGGAATGGACATATCGAGGTAAAATAGGAAGAATTAATAATGAAAAAGCAAGAGAACTGAGTTGTAAAAGAACAAGTAGTTTTAATGATTTGTGGTTTTATCTTCAATATATTTCATAAAACCTAGCATTATAAGAACTAAAACGTTTCTCACCTGTTGGAACAGTTTTTATATCCACTTGAAGTGCTGTGCCACTCATGTGGGTTTATGTAGAGATGAGTGGGACAACATGAGTTTATGTGCATATGAAGGTGAATGAAGCCTCATTTTATTTATTACTTTTCATTAACCTATTTAACCTGTTACTTGCCGTGGCTATTTTATCTTATTGTGAGGGCAAAATAACATTTGTGAATTGAAAAAAATGATAGAAAACTTATCTTTTATTGGATTTCAGATTTTATTTTAGTAAATAGTAGCATGACATTCAATTATTTGTACAAAATGGTATTATTTAATGTAGATTAAAGAGGAATTTAATGAAAAAATTCCTAAAATACGTTTTAGACTTTAAATAAGCGCCCTCTAAGAAGAAAATTTTTTAAAGATATTTCCTTCCACTTCAGCACTGGTCCTGCCATCTATGATTGGTATCTAAATCTTTTTCTAATCTGTTTTATTTATAAAACTGCGTCTGGGAGTGTTAAACCTCAGTTGTAAAACTTTTAGCCAATCCTAGTCGAAAGTGTCAATTTATTCCAATTGCTGTGTCTCCCATTTGACATATCATAGGATGATAAGGAAAGCACGTGACGAAATGTTGTTCTCTGGATTTTACAATATGAATGTGGTTGGTTCTTATTGTAGTAAGTGCCATTTTATGTAGAGGTTGTATTTAGTACTGGCCAATAGGACATTTCTATAAGCATTAGAAAAGTTGCTTCCTGAAAAACTGCATGGGATGTACGTGACTTTTATTATTTTTATATAGTAGCTTAAGTCATGCTGCATCGTATATCTGTTTATATTAATCATTATATTGAAAAATTAACTCAGAATAGG